ATGATTTTTCTGCAAAGAAAATTATATTAGCTTTTATTATAAGTAACATATTATTGAAGATACTTTGCGAAATGCTCTGGCTGTAAAATAATCTGTGAAAAAATTAGGATCTATGTTAAAATATGAAAATACAATTGTATTAAGATAGCTTTTTATATGTATGATTTTTTTTTAAATGGCGGGCACTTGGAACTATTGTCCATTGGCCACAGAAAGTGCCAGAACTGCTAACTCTCTTTTCGTTACCCAGTGGGTGGTGAAGCAGCGTCGCCCACGTCACACTACCACAACCCGTTTATAGGGTGGGTCACATTCACACACAAAGGAGAAAGAACATGGAACACAGATAAAGAGAAAGAAACATTCATGCCTTGCCCGGGATTCGATCCCAGAACCTTTCTGATGCAAGGACAGTTCCCTGCCCCCTACACAGGCCGGTCGGCTTAAATGAATGATTTGAAGCATATATTTTTGAAAATGATCAGAATTGTAATTTACTTTTAAAAATTAGGATAATAAGGAAGAAAAAAACGAAAAGACGAAAATGTACGTAAATCAGACTTCTGCATTTTTTTAAATCTTTATAATAGAAAAATTAGTAAGCTTTTATGAAATAAATTATAACAAGAACTATTTTTTTCTATCTTCTAATAGCCTTAAACAATTCTTTATGAAAAATTATAAGCTTAACATTTGCTCAACGTTTTGATACTTGTTTTGTTCCTATCATGTGTCAAGTAGTTTTTTAGACATGGGCTCTATACTTTTGCGAAGTCTGTAATATCAGGAGAGATTTTGGATCTTGTGATGTTACTGCATGGCTATAGTTTGTCTACGGTAAGAACTCCCCCCGCCACAAAGTCTGAGGCCATCTGCTGCTATGGAAACAAGAATCGCGCATTTCAGGGAGGGTAGCTTCTCTTCACTCCAGGGTTAACACAATAGACAGAAGAAAAAGATTATCTTTCTCTCGCTGACACGAGCCAAAACCTGTCCTAAATAATGACCCCACACTCAAACTTGAAATAGTTATACCTCGTTACCATAGTTACCGCCACAAGTTCAGACGAATCGGTAGGGGAGTTCTGACTTTATACAAACTATATATTTTTTGGTTCACTGAATTAGGCGTCGTAAAAGCGCTTTTCTTTCAATTTGCTCGTTTAAAGACACAGATACGTGACGAATCCTTGTCTTTTTAGAAATATCTTAAAATGGCTGACGATCAGAAGTAAAACTTTTTTTTTTTAAATATTTATCTAATAATTTTCTTGTTCAATTTTTACTTAGTAACACAATACAAAGTGTTTCATAAGTACCATCCTTTTATAATTAATTTAAGAATAAAAATAAAGTAAGCATCTGTGCACACAACAAGACTCTCAAATTAATATTTAATCGAGGTCATTCAGAGTGAAGATGAAACTAAAAGTATTACAATTGATTCGACTTTTAAATGGAACCAAGAGGACGTGAAAATTTGTTGGAAGTGTATTTCTGTTTTGTCAATAAGTTTTGTGATTGACCTTGATAATGATTCGTCTAATTTTGATAGTAATGTTTTTTTTTCAAGTATTAATTTAAGTACCCTATTGCACTCATTAAAAATGAGCGAGGAGAAGGTCAAGGAGTTTAACATTCCGAAATTTCGAGACCTACGGCGTAATTGCGGTAACGTGGTCAGAATTACTCACAGGCCGTCTTTACTTTTCCGACAATCTGGTACCATCGATCCATATTATAATTCTAAAAAAATTATTGAATGATTGTCGCTACGAGCTACCTTGTTTACATTCGACTTGGCATTTCAAATTATCGCTATTCAATTTTTTAAAGCGATTCAATGGAAAATAAGTTTATAGCACTTTAATATTCTTTATCAATCGTCAAAAATACTATTATTTATAGGCAGAGCTGATTTATATGATTATTGTTTTTATTCTCAGGCTTATGAATATGATTAATACTCTTCTGAATTTAAATCTAAATTCCACTTAAACTTACTTGGTTTTCAAAAGAAGGAGAAATATCATGATTCCACTGAATGCGCACGCACCTCCCAGCAGTAGTTTCCGTGAACAACACTCAACCAAAAACGTAAAGAGTACGAGTCCTATGTCAAAATATAAGTACATAATTGCTTCTTATACAATTCCATTTTCTTCAATTGACATTACAGTAAGAAAAAGATCAGTTCGTAGAATAGTGTTTTTCCATTTATTTAAAAGTTTCATTTCAGAATTTAAATATTCATAGTAAAAAGACCGAGTGCACTTAAGCACTGTAAAAATTATTATCAGTTTATAAATACAACTGGTTTGTCATAATGAACTAACTTTTTGTTGAACCATCAGCACAATTTCGAAAGAGAAATTTTGTTCCCTTTTTTAAAGTTTCTCCGATATTTCTGCTGAAATATTAATATTTTTGAAAACATTTTTACTACTTTTAGAATAGCATACTATTTACTTATTTTCTTTATGATAAAAATTTCTGGCAAAAGTCAAACATTTCTTCGAGCTCTTTTAGATGCAAGTTTATAGAATATTTTTTTATGTATTTTAAAAGTATTTCTTTCACTGAATGCATTTGTGAAAAAAATTCAAGTATAGATATTTATGACTTGTTTATTTTTTCTTCACAAGACTATAACTATTAATTTGGGCAAAATTCGAAGAATAGTTAATACAAAAATCCTTTGACGTATTATTATTTTGAAAACAAATACTGTACAATAAAATGAAATAAAATAATTACTATACAATAAAATTTCAAATAAAAGTAATATAAAATACCAGGAAATTCCGCTGAGCTTGTCCATAACAAATCTATGTAGTTTTGCCGCGTCAATTTAGTGCAAGGAATTATTTTGCTCATCGTCACATCATCTGTTCCATTGACGATACTTGAGGCACTGTTCTCATCTGATTAAAATGAAACAACATACATATTTTTTGCATTTATTTAAAATTAACAGCTTACTATGTGTAAGCTTTACAAGAAAACGCTCCTATTTGTTCCGACAAATTTTATCAAAAAATAATTCGTTGACTTTGGAAAAGATATTCCTTGTTCTTCTGGTATTAAATCAGAGTTTGGATTTTTCTTTTTATTTATTGTTTTTAAAATTCATACTTCCATGTTGTTGGGTAGCATATTCTTTACAGAAAAAAAAAACTCTGAGTAAAAAATTACGGAAACTTTTGAGATATATCCACGGAGAACAATTTTTCGGTAAATTTACTGTACTATTTGGTAAGGACAAGAACCATAATTCTGGAGATAAAAACTATAATATTCAGTATTTTAACCATTCATTTAGCAATTTTTCCGCTTTATGGTAACGGTTAACAGGAAATTCTGCTTTTCAAAATTATAATTCTTATTACCCCACGTTTAATAAAAAATACAAAACAAAAAATATATATTTAACGGAATATAAGGTTCTTATGCCATGCTCAAATGCATTATGATAAAATTAACAAATTTTATCACATCTACCAATTTTATCCTGTATTATGAAACCATATTTTATCGTTACCAACATCATTACCAAAGCACTTCGGTGAAAATTACCTAGATTTTCAGTGTTTGACCAAGTGGTCTTTCAGTTATTATCTGTTAATATTGCTCTACCATACATTTTTATTGCAAAAAATTGAATTCAAAATATAAAAAAATAGTGGTATTTTGAGTGTCTGTAATTTTTATCGTATGGTAAATTTTTATCGTATGGTAAGTGCAAAGTTTGTTTTCTTACTTCTTGTATTCTAAATAGTATAAGTTAGATTATACAGAGTGGAAAAAAATAAATGTCATCCGAATCCCGGTTTTTTTAACGAACTGAGTTTCATACATGTAAAAATTATGACTATTTTTGATTGTTGATATTGAAATGTTGTTCACATAACATTTTCAAAAAATATTTACCTCAAAACAACTCTACTTTTCCTTAACCTTTTGGTTATGGCACTTAGCATTAAGCCTGTCATTTTGGTCCAGTTATTGAACCAGCCGTAAGTGAGAGGTTAATGGATTAGTTCTTAATGATTTAAATCAAAACACTTTTCACACCGAATTTAAAAATGTGGATTATTTAGAGTTCATTAGACATTTATTAATATATATGTGACCGGCAAAGTATGAAATGCCGTATGAAATGCCTGATGTTTTTAGGCAAAGTATGAAATATGAGAAGTATTGGCATTATGTATAATGCCTTAGGCATTATATATAATGCCGGATGCTATTTAGGCAAAGTATGAAATAAACGTCCTGATGGGGTTATTACGTAAATGATGTGTATGTTACTGTGAATGACCGAAATCGGTGGTTGTTGACTTTCACCGGTGAATGTTAACAATCACAATCACTTGGTGAATGTCCGAAACATTTATTACATCCGATTTGATATTAATTAATACGGGGATATAATTACATTTATTCGATATTTTAATACTTACTGACGATAGATTAGAAGAAACATCAGTGTTTGGAGTATCGGGCAAATATATACCGGGCAGTGGCCCTAGACCTTAAAAAAACAACAGTGTAGGGTATACCGGGCAATGGTTTTTTAAGGTCAAGCGCCATTGCCTGGTATACATTTGCCCGATACTCCAAACACTGATGATTTTTAAAGGTCAAGGATCACTGCCCGGTATACCCTACACTGATGTTTTC